ACTGTGATTAAATGTCTTTCTAAATTTGTTTTGAAAAGCTAGTTGACTGAGTAAATTTTAAGATGCACTGCTAACTGTGAGGCTGGTGGTTCAGAGCCAGCAGTGACTCCGTGGGAGAAAGGAGGTGGCTCTCTGCTGCTGTAAAGATCTACATTCCTGGAAATGAGTTATATCGGGTTATATATAGGGAAATGTCATATAGGGTCGCTATGAGTTATATGGGGCCACACATAGGGAAGTGTTGTGTAAGGCCACTATGAGCTGTATCGGGTCACATATAGGCAAATGTTATATGGGGTTACTGTGAGTTATATAGGGTCACATATAGGGAAGTGTTATGTGGGGTCACTGAGTTATACAGGGTCACACAGAGGGAGCTGTTATATAGGGTCCCTATGAGTCACATAGGGTTATATAGAGAGAAGTGTTAAGTAGGGTCGCTATGAGTTATATCGGGTCATACACAGGGAAGTGTTCACAGGGTCGCTAGGAGTGAAACGGGGTTATGCATAGGGGAGTGCTCCGTAGGGTTGCCGGTAACTGGGACTGACTGATGGCAGTGCATTTGCTGTTGTTCTGGCTGGTTGGTTACATTATCACGAAGATAAGAGCAGCCGGACACAGAGACAAAAAGGAAGACCGCTTGTTCACATCAAGGCAGTCTGGTAAGAATAAAATAGCTTCTACAAAGCTTCGTGTCCAAGCGGAGCACAGGCAGGCTCTCATGTTTTTCCGAATCTGCCCCTTTCACTTGCCCTCTGCTTCCCCTTTGAAGCTGAGAAACTTGGGTGGGGTGGGGGGGCAGGGATGTGCGGAAAGAGAACTCCATCCAAGGGCGGGATTCCTCCCCTTCCTTTCACGTCAGCCTCCTCACCACACACTGCAGACGCTCCGCACGGAGGGACAGGGAGCTGGCGGAAGGGGCGGCCAGCCTGACAATGGTTTACATGGCGATTACGTTTCCTTCTTGTACTTCCTTGTACTCACTGCTATTCGGGCATCAGTTCCTCTTCTATCCTGCCTCAAATCCCGGTTTGTCATAGTCTGTCACCCTACCCCGGCCTGGCATGAGGCACGCCTTCGCTTGCCCAAGAAGCCCCACTCCTATCAGAGTGGCCAGGACAGCTAGTGGCAGAGAACACTGCAAAGAGGGCCTGTTCCAAGAATGTCTCTTCCTTCTGGGAACAGAGATGGATGGGCAGACTCCATCGATTCCTCCCCCCACCCATGCCCCATCCCCCCTCAGTGAGGAGGGTGCCAACGCCCCTCAGAGGGCAAAGCGCCCCTGCTCCAGCATGAACATGCCGGTGCAGGCCGCTCGGGGCCTGGGGCAGCACTGGGCTGCCGAGTGGGGATTTGGAGTAGCCATCAACACGCCAGCCTGGGGCCGGCCGCTCTCTCGACCCTGGGCCTTTAGCCTGTTTCCCAGCGAAGGCTGAGACTAAGGGTCAGCCAGCGAAGGCTGAGACTAAGGGTCAGCGTTCCTTCTAACAGCCAAGGGCACGTTCATTCTCTCTGGCACGGCGTGGCCAACAACTCGGTTGAGCAAGTACTCCGCTGCCCAGGAGGAAGGTGACTGAGCTGGATGCTTCGTGGACAAGTTTGCAGTTCAGCGAGTATCGCAAAGCTAAACAGCACATTAAACCCAAGAACTCACGAGAAACGGTCATTGAGGATGGGATGCAGGAGAGAGCGAGAGAGCGAGCAATGACGTGATGGTGTTCACATTAAAGTGAAATACAAGGTCGAGAATGCAAGGATTGCAGAAGTCCAGAAGGTGGTTTGTGGGAAGGGGCCCTGAGCAGTCGCCCACAAGCCCCTGGAGCTCCTCCCTCAGCCCCGCCCCTGGTCCTAGCACTCTTGAGCTGGGACTTGCTCCCTCACTGCCTGCGTGGAGTCCATGCTGACGTCTAGCACCCCTATAGGACCAAGAGGGGACCCATCCTGTGAGCTTCCCAGACGGTAACCTTTTCCCGGAGCAGAACACACCGTCTTCTCGAGAAAGAGCAGGCATCAAACCATCCTTTTAAAATACGATCTGTTACACACACACACACACACACCCACCCACCACCACCACCACCACCCCCAACCCCCCCCACCTCTGACAGGCTCCGGCCCCATGAGTCAGCCATTCAAAGTGCATGCCAGTTCCTCTCTGGTAAACGGCAGGCCAGGCACCACACGCCCCGTCCCGAGACGTGCTGTGTCCTCAGCGGCTAGCCTGTGTGCTCTGGTCTGGACCGGGAGTGGGAATCTGTTGGAGTTGATCTAAAATTGAGGGTGTCCTCCACTGTCGTCCTTCTCTGACTCTGGGTAGGGACAGTTTGTCCTGGGCTTAGTGACCTGCAGATGCCTACTCTCGGTTTAGCAGGATGGAGATCGAGAGGTTTCATGGCTACCGGTCAAAGACTTGCAGTTGCTTTGTGTGGCTCTGGTGGGTGCTGGCTTGTTTCGATCTGCCTGAAGGATTGTCCAGGATGCAGCCACACTGGCTTATACTCCAGAGTGAGAGCCTAAGGGCCTGGGCTGTGTCACTGTGCGTCCACCTCAGCGGACACCAAATCCTACAACTTCTCATCCTCATACCCCAACCCCAACTCACTGCCATCGAGTCAGTCCTGGCTCATAGTGACCCCTGTGGGTGTCTGCGGCTGTAACTCTCTACAGGAGTAGAAAGCCTCAATTTTCTCCCTTAGAGGAGCTGGTGGTTTCCAACTGCTGACCTCGGGGTTAGCAGCCCAACGTGCAGCCTGCTGAGCCACCAGGGCTCCTCATCCCAGGGCCTGGTCCTCACGCACGGACCCCATGCCTCCAGAGAAGAGAACACGCCACTGTAAGTGCACTTCTCTTTTGCATTTTACAGAAATAGAGATGCGCTTCCATTTTAAAAGATGTCTATTTGAAAACACCCTATGGTCTGTACTCTCTTCTCTGGACCCTCCAAAGGCCGCACAGGGTTCACAGAGAGATCCTAGCATGGCGGCCACGCCATTTGGTGGCAGAAGGTTGGCAGCAGCCTAGCTGTGTCCAGGGGCTTCAGGAGAAACAGAGCAACGGCTCACACCAGGCCTCTGCAGGCTCTGGGCTCTGTGTCCCAGCCTCGGGGTGCATTCCCTTCTTCTGGGGGAGGGGCCCAGTTCCGCTTCGTGGATGTGATCGCCGCATCACTGAGAGCACCCTTCCCACACTGGCTACGGGGGGCCTGCCACGCCTCCAGGTGAGCAGACACTCCCCACTCTGCCTGGGAGGGAAAGACCAGCAACTGGGGCTCTGTGTCCCAGCCTCGGGGTGCATTCCCTTCTTCTGGGGGAGGGGCCCAGTTCCGCTTCGTGGATGTGGTCGCCGCATCACTGAGAGCACCCTTCCCACACTGGCTACGGGCGCCTGCCACGCCTGCCAGGTGAGCAGACACTCCCCACTCTGCCTGGGAGGGAAAGACCAGCAACTGGGGCTTCCACGGGCTCTCTGATGTATACATTCCTCTGTGATTTCTCTGACCCTCAAGCTCTATCTGTAAAAAATCAGGGTCCTAGGCGTGCGATGAAAGGCGCCCTGGTGAGGCCAAGAGGGAAGTCTGGAAGTTCAAGCCCACCCAGTGGCACCGTGAGGTACGCTTTGGAGAGCTGCCTCTGCCAAGAGAGCCTGGACAACTCTGAGCGGTCCCCCTCTGCCACGCGTGCGTGCTGTGTGTCAGGACAGGCCTGACGGCTCCCAACAGCTACAGGCCGATGGTCAGAGTGAAACAAAAGATGTCCGACGCACTGCCGTGCGGACTCTGGAGCTCAGTGTAGCGCAAGGCCAGCGCACAGTCACCGAGTGCTGCCCGGGGGCATGCCTTAACCGCAACCGTGGCAAGCATGTGTAATCCTCACGCCACTCTAATGACCTTGGCTGGGGGTTAGCCTCACTTTACAGGGGAGGCAAATGAGACACCAAGACCCCTTAAAGACATTTGACCTCAAAGGTATCTCAGATGAAACTTGGATTTGAACCCAGGGCCCAACTGAGTTCATGCTCTTAGCCCAGCTGCTAGGCTGACTAATACTTTAAGTTTGCTTGCTGTCTTTTATTATTGGTCTCATTTTTCCTGTCCCTTTATATATAATAACACTTTTAAAAAAGTTTTTACATATAAGGCACCTACCTTACAGCTCAATGTTTTGAATGATTTTTTAAAAAAGAGTTGTTAAGCATCACCACAATCAATTTTTCAACATTTCTTCATTTTATACTCATTGTTATTAGCTCCCAATTGACCCCCAACCTCCTCTGTCATGACCCCAAGAAACTATTGATCCAGTTATTGTTTCTATAAATATATCTATCTTAGATTTCATATAAAGAAAATCATACAAATAACCCCCCAACAGCAGTTAAAAATAAAAATAAAACCCAGGATACCTCCATACAGGAGAAAACAAAATAATAATAACCAGAAAAAATAAAAAATGTGTCAAAAGGGAAAACAAATAAGACTTTGAAATCTAACATAACTGCATGTGCATTAATTCGCTTTCTGATTGCCCTCTGAGAACATTCTATTCACATCCTGCTCAAGGGCCACCTCATCCCCCAAGAAACTGTGCAAACGCACGGGTCAGCCGTAGCCTTCTGCAAACCCAGGGCTCAGAATTGAAACTGCAGTACATTTCCTTCCTCTGATCTTGGATTCTATTATTTACTATCTTTGGATCATACAGGCTGGTGTGCTTCTTATTTGTCACTTAGAAGGCTGTTTTTTGTTTGTTTGTTTGTTTGTTTGTTTTTAAGGGAAGCTTTTGAGACCCCAGACGCTGATCTTCCTAATAGCCAGGACCGTGTGCTTTCTTCAACACACTTTGCTACAGCCCTCCAATCTTCAGGGATCACTTAGGCGACCCTAAATCCCCATGGAATAAAGGAGTTCAGAGAAAGACATACAAGTACAAAACTTTACATTGTATTGAACACTTTTAGAGTTCAGTAAGTCTATTAATATGTATACATGTATTAATTACCTTTATATCCTTGTTCTGTCTCCCTGAGATCAATTTTGGTAATTGGTTTGAAATCAGTGTCCCATAATCGGATACACCCATCTCGCCCGCCTGTGGCAAAACCTTCTTCACAGCCATACATGCTGAAGATTCCAGCCTGTTGGTTAGAAATCAGTCACACTCAATGCTGTGGTCATTCCAAGCACTCAGTATAGTTGAATCTTGATTTGAAACCAAACCAAACCTTTGTACCTCCTTACAATAATCTTCATCTCAGCTGCATTAAGAAATAATCACAACAACATCCACAACAAACTAGTTTAAGTGTTCCTTTACAATCCCTAAATTGATAGCAGGGTGTAAAAAAAGAGAAATCGTTAAGGAATACTTTGGTTAAGTCAGATATGAAAATATAAATTCCTTCCCGTAACAACTAACCCTAATGAGGGAGTTAAGGCAACAAGGGAGACGCTCTGTACATCGCTGCTCACAAGGGCGCATCGAGAGAAGACTAGTGAGCCAGGAGCAGACGTTTCAGAGACGGACGAAGGTGCCTGAAAGCAGCGCTCAGAGCTCAGAGGGCATCTGGTCGGCTTGTGGGACGGACATCAGCTGAAGACGTCCTTCAGACCTGAAGACGTTTCATAACCTGCAGATGCTCTTCCACAGCAAAGTGCTGTGTTTGGTCTGCTCAAAAGTGGTCCCTGTCAAGCTGGCGAATAAAGCATTACTTAATCTGTAGCCTAACTAGTTCAGAGCTGATACTTTTGAAATATGTATTTCTTTCAGGGGATCAAAAATAATTTTGGAAATGTTCCTGTTGAAGAGAGTATCCGGCAAAGTCCTTGGATCCTGAGCGATCAGAAAAAAGAACGCAGGAATGTGCGATCCCACCTTACAGCCCCCGCCCACAGAACCCGTGGGCCGCGTCCCCGCCCCGCGACTCACACTGTGTGCGCCCTGGATGGTGCGGACCAGGGCAAGCCCCTTCCACACGTAGACATCGCCGTTTAAAGCACCGGAGTAGGTGACGTCTTCTTTGGCACAGGCGAGGCAAAGGATGGTCTGAAGGTCCCCTGTTCTGCCAAATATCCCTCTTTTCACAGTCAAGGCGTTTCCACACAGTGTCCAAAACTAGAAAATGAGGAATAAAATAAATACACCCCAAAAGAGTGTCCCGATGCTTGACTTTGGTTAGTTCACGTCACCCGTGATCGGTCGTGCACATGAACTGGACACAAACGGGCGCACCTGTCCCTGCCAACCTCCTCAGCCAACGACGAGCAGCGTCGTGGTAAAAGCCCATGACAATTGTTCCAGCGCTTTCCAAGTTTCACATTTCTAAAACTCTGCTATGTCAATGTTCTCAGGATCTAAACAAAGTGGATGAATCATCCTATTTTTGTTTCATTGTTTTTGTAAAATTATAAAACCAGTATACGTTCCTTTCAGAAAGGTTTAGAAATACAGAAAAGTGTGAAGGGAAAGCGGGATTATCTACAACCTACTGCTGTATATATTTGGAATCATTTGGAAACTATTTCTAACCAAAAGTTTTTACTTAATATTCGTTTCAGAAGTGTTGCTCAGGAATATGCCTCTAAATATGAGCTCCAGTCCCATGTCAGCATATGACTGGTGAGGGTCTTCCATTTTTGTTGTGTGGCTTATTCTGCGGAAGACCGCAGAGCACAGCCCTGACCCACTTCACAGAACGCAGCAGGGAGACCCTCGTTTGTACAAAATCAATCTTTTGGCTCAACATCGTTTTAATGTATGGCCTCACTATCATTCACATAGCCCCTCGCTGTGTATCCAAGCTCTTCACAAGCATTGTTATTGATCCGCATGACGTCCTTGAGAATCGGTCGGTAGAGGCAGATAGGATCATTAGTCTCACTGGACAGTGGAGAAAAGTGAGAGTACATGGTCTGCCCCGGGGCAGATTCCCTGGGAGTTACACACGAGGAAATAATAGAAATCTTAGTTTCTGCCTGGAGAACTTTAAACCCACAGAAAAGATCCATTTCAAGTATGATGAGAACCATTTTCAGAACATGGAGCATGTTCAGACTAGCCATTCACACGAGACAAGGAAATCCAGAGGTCAGGATGGTGAAATGAACGGGAAGGAGCACACAGAGAATCTGCATTCATGGTGAGGAAGACGCTGCACCTGAGAGCCACAGAGTACAATCAGCCAGGGCGCTGTAGAGCAACAGGGACAGCCCTCTTGTCCTGTGCTGGTGGGAGAGGGAAAGGCGGCCCTGAGGGCGGCTGGGTCTGTGGTCAACGCTGTGGCAATGCTGCGCCTCCAGGATGACCCGGACCCAGGCAGCTGTTCTGCGGGACCTTGCCTGGTCAGGTGGAGAAGTGGAGAGGCACAGCCATCGGAGGTCATACAGAACCTCATGAGGGAGGGGAGTGCCAACTTGAGTGACTGGTTTACTTGGACACTGCCATTCTTATGAAAAGGCATTAAAGGGTGCGTCCAAGGCATAGAAAGACCGGGGCACAGACAGGCCGAAGCTTTGGAGGACATTAGACATGCCAAGTGTGGCTCTGCATCTGAACCGAGTCTAGACCAATAGCTGCCGGCTGTGGGGCAGGCCGCAGATCTCTGTTCACGGCGAGACTGCAGGCAGACATTGCCTTTCCTGCTACGTCCCCTCTGCTTGAAGATCAGAAGGTGAGCAACGTGTCCTTGACGGTGTGCTACAACTGCGTGCTCGGCCGCTAAGAGAAAGGGTGGCAGTCCCGTCACACCGAGGGCAGATAGCCATCCGTCCCAGGGAGTCGCCAAGGGCCAGAAGCAGCCGGACAGGCACCTGTTTGGTCATTCGCCTCGAGCTTGGTGTGTGCATCTCTGACGTGAGTTGTTATTTTTCGATGACGAATAATCACAAAAACAATGTTGTTAGGTGCCAGCGAACAGAGCGCCACACTGCCCGGTCCTGCGCCATCCTGACAGCTGTTCCTGTGCCGAAGTTCATTATTGCAGCCACGGTGTCAGCCCCTCTCCGGGAGGGTCTTCCTCTCCCAAACACGACGTCCTTCTCCAGGAACCAGTGTCTCTGACAACACGCCCAAGGAATGTAAGACAAGCTCTCCATCCTTGCCTCTCAGGAGCCTCTGTTTCCTTATGTTTCCCCGAGACAGGCAAAGATCCTCAGACCTCACCAGCACGATGGTTTCCTGACCCTGCCAAGCATCCAGATGGTAAATGCCCACATGAAGCATTCCAAATAACGAAATGATTCCCTAAAAGGGCACTGGTGGGTCTAATGCCAGAGCAGTTCAGAGGGTTTCATTAGTGTGTTTAAACTATCTGTATGCTACATGGATTGCATGTCCATAAGCTTTTTTCCCCAATAACAAATCCCTGAAATTCGACCTCTTCTTGAGAATGACTTCCGTGAGGAGAGCATCTGACACCCCAGGGTTACAGTCTCACCCAAACAGCCACATGGCTCACCTTCGTCGGCCCCATTCACAGGCCGAAACGCAGAGTCTGTCTGCACCGGCAGGCACCTCGGGTGACATCTGCCCAGACAATCCCGAGGCCCTTTCTGTGCGTGACTCGAGAAGGCGCCACAGTATTCACGGCGCTGGCAGCTGTCTGGTGAAACCCACGAAGCGGACAGTGCTCACCTGGGCCTGATTTTCAAGCATGCGCTTCAGGTCACCGTGACTCCCGGGCCAGCAAACACTGGAGAGTTGGAGTTTAAGCTGACTACAAACACTTCGCACAGCGATTACTCTCTTGGAGGGCCTCAGAGAGTTTGCATTCGACTTGTGACTGGGGTCATTCAGTTGATGTGAAAGTCAGTTTGGGGACACAGTGGTGAGGGAGTGGCAGGAACCGGGTACTGAAACTTTAGTGAGAGCAATCGGTTGACGCCTGCTGAAGTGTGTGGTGGAGGCAGAGGAGGAGGGGGAGGAGGAGGGAGAAGAAAGCACAGGTACACATTCGTAGCTCCTTCCATGTAAGATGAAATGCGATGCTTGGTTTTGCTGGTTGCTATGTTGCTGCTAGGCGCCATCTCTGACTCAGGAACAAAACACTGCCCAGGCCGGCACCATCCTCAAAATGGTTATGGTTGAGCCCATTGTTGCAGCCACTGTGTCAGTCCATCTACCTGAGAATCTTCCTCTTTCCCTGAGCCTCTACCTTACGGCGCAGGGTGTCCTTCCAAGTAGTCCCTTCTGTGCTTCTGACAGTCCGCGCTTTCAGTCTGTTCACCAACGGCGTCCTAAAAGCACATCCGTTCTTCCCCGGCTCCCTGGTCATCGGACGCTTTCACACACCCATGAGACCAATGAAAATACCGTGACTTGGGTCAGGCACACCTGACTCCTCAGACAGACATCTGTGACCTTCAACACTGTAAACAGGTCTCGGCAGCAGATCTGCCCGGAGCAATGTGTTGCTGGATTTCTTGACTGGGGCTTCCATGAGCACTGCTTGTGGGTCAAGTAAAGTGAAATCTTTGACATCTTCAGTCTTTTCTCCTTTTGTCATGGCGTTGGGCATTGGTGCGCTTGTGAGGATTTTTGTTTGCTTTATGTTGAGTTACGATCTATACTGAAGGCTGCAGGCTTCTCTTTAGCAGCAAGTCCTCCTCACTTTCAGCAAGCAAGGTTGTGTCGCCTGCACACTGTAGGTTGTTAATGAGCCCTGATCCAAACGCCACACACACCTCATTCTTCTTCCGAGAACTCAGCTCCTCAGTTCATTTGCTCAGCATCCAGCTCGACAAGCGCGGTGAAAGAACATGACCCTGGCACAGACCTTCCCAGACTTTAAACCAGGCAGTGTTCCCTTATTCTGCTGGAACGACTGCACCGTGGTCTATGGCCAGATTCCTCGGGAGCACAGTGATGTGTTCTGGAATTCACATTCTCCACAATGTCAACGCTACTTTCTTGTAATCCGTGCAGTTGACTGCCTTTGCACAGTCAATAAAAGACAGCCAAGCATCTCTCTGACGTCCCCTGCTCTCACAGCAGAGTGCAGATGTCCACCATCACTGGCTTCAGTGGTTGCTGTCTGAATTAACTGGGTTTCCTAGTGAGTACACAGATGTTGTCCCAGCCCATTGCACTTCCCGACAGACCTTGAAATGTCCTTTTTGACGATGAATGTGATGCCATTCCTCTTGAACTTGTCCTTCCCAGCATAACGAACCTATGGTTGTCTCACCCCAAATGGCCAATACCCATCCACTCAGTTCACTAATGCCTAGGAGATCCATCTCTATGCATCCCATCCCAGCGCTGACAGTTTCCAATTTTCCTAGATGCACACTCTGTACATTCCGCTTTCTGAAGACGAATCGATGTTTGCGGCTGTCCTTTCTCATTTTGGTGATGCCCCACCAGCAAATGAAGGTCCTGACAGCTGAGCTTCATCCCCGCCACTCCTCCAGGGACTCCTTGGAGGAGATCTTCCTTCCTCCATGGGGTTCTGAGCACCCTGCAGCCTGAGGAGTGCGATCTGACAGTGTCCACTGCTGTTGGTCACGTCCTCAGTTCATCCCCAGAAGGCTGGTCTTCTGAGGAAGCTCCGGTGAAAGCGGTCACCTTGGCGGCCCTGCTGATACTTGCAGTGCTGGGGCAAAGTTTCCAGCACCACTGAAACACAGGCCGCCGCAGGTGACAAACTAAGGAGTGGCCTTTTTTTCTTAGGAGAAAAGAAACAAACAAAACAAAAACCTGAGTCTGGTAAAATACGATGAACAAATTTAAGAGGATAGAAGTTTCTTAGTGTTTTCAGATGAGGTCCCTGATTTTCTGTTTCTGCTTGTAGAAATAACTGGTTAAGAAAAACTGAGTTAACCAAAGATGGAAAGAAACAGGAGGGAGTCAGGATAATGGTCTCAATTAATCAGCTTATCTATTTGGAACTCAAATGTTTTACTTTGAGATTTAAAACAACAACAAAATGCCAATGCCGCCAGGTTGGTTCCAAATCATAGTGTCCCTGTAAGACAAGCAGAACTGCTTCTTGGTGTTGCCAAGTCTATAAATATGTTTCCGAAGCAAAAGGTGTCATTGGCTGGGTTTGGACCGCTGACCTTGCAGGTGGCAGCTCAATGCATAATCCTCCATGCCACCAGAGCTCCTTCAGAAAGAGCTAAGCCAAGTCAAATCATCACAGAGACCATTTTTAAGAGTGAAAGAGCTCTGTCCTGGAAGCCTGAGGCTAAGTTTCAATCATATCTCCACCACAATTCTTGCGATTTTAGGAATGGGAAAAAAAATAACTCTGCTTGTGTCCTTATGAGGCAGCCTGGTGGTACTGTGGATTAAGCATGGGGCTGCTAATCCCACAGGTCAGTGTCCTGAATCCGACAGGTGCGCCGAAGGAGAAAGATGAGGCACATCCCCGTAGTGTAAGATGGGAACTGTTGCATAGCGTGTGTTCTGGTAGAAGTCTTAGGGTCATCAGTTCAGGATTTAATGAACATAAAGTGTCCTCTTTGGCTGCCTGCTGACTCTGCACTTGCTTGTTGCTGCTTTGCATTTCTGAAAAGGGTGGATGTTCCCTTCAGGATCAGA